TTTCCCTGCTTGGAAAGACCCATGAAGACCACTTCCAAGGCTCAAGGAATAGCATAGTTCATGGGGGATGCACAAGGAGCAAACACCTTTTGAAACGACTGTAATTATACTAGGATGACTGTAACAGACGGATGTATCCTCTTATCATCCAGGCTACAGCTAACCCTGCAGGTCGAGAGTCAGGCCCAAAGCTCTACTGCGTTTCCACCGGAAAGAGACCCATGAGTTGGGGAGTGGGGGAGGCAGGCAGCCAAGTTCCAAAGAGGGGATCAGTTAATCGGTATGTAGCCCACTTCACTGTTTAGCATCTGTTTTTGCCCTGACAATGGATACTGAGGACACATCACAACAGACATTACTTTTCTCTCTTTTAGGAAGTGCAGGTCACCTAGACAGTACGGCCCACTTGGTCAATTCTTATTCTGTGCCCACATTCCAGGTGGATTCAAGTTCAGAGGAGAGCAAAGAAGGAAAAGAAATAAGGTAAAGAAGATTCAGCAGCGATAACGCTGAAGGTGATAAACTCATGGCAGGAAGTGTCTCATGCACCTCAGTCTGGGAAAAAACACGGGAGCCCATACTCTTTAAAGGGATCTCCAGAGGGCATTCTGGCATGGTCACAGCCTGGCTTCCTGGCACATCTCCAGCACCCTTTTAGCTCCTGCCTCAAGCTTTCATGCAGACTGCTGTGGACAGAGGTTAAAGAATGATAGTAAAGCAAGTGACTTGACAGTTTCAAATCAGAGATAATATGAAGCAATGGACCTTCAACTTGCAAAACAGGCTCATTTTGTGGAGACGCTTTGTTGCAAACTGAAAGCACCGTAAGAAAAAAGTAAGAGTGGGGGTAGAGAGAGCCCTAGGCAGATACTGTAGGAGCTTGGAGATAGACGTTATGGGACAATAATTTGCAAGAAAAGTGTTCAGGGACGAGTTTATTTAGAATATAGAAATTACCTTCTAGAATGCAGAAGAGCAAGTACTAGTGATTGAGTAAATGTGGTGGGGTGGGAAAAAGGGACCCTTGGAGCTGGAAGAATATGAGATTGAACTGGAAAAGATAAGATTTATATGGCAGGAGCGAGCTTTGAAAGCTCAGTGTTGCCCACAGGTTGTGATCAACCATATGGTGAGAGAGAAAGCTGTGAAAAGGACTAGTTACCACTCACAGCCATGGAACAAGTGGTGGGAAAGAAAGAACTTTTACACAATGCAAACAAAAGAAAATCTGCACAGTTCACAAACCTTAGCCTATCTGTCAGAATGAATAATATCAGATTTCATGGCCAATTTCCATGTAGCCTTCTGTCAAACCTAGCATTGTGACTGCCTTAGAGCAGTAAACAACTTTGTTCTACCGGGACAGCACTTTTAGCATGATGGAGTCCTAGATGATCACCGGAGGTCCTGGGCACTACACAGGAGAGGGGTTTATCATAAGATGTATATACCTGTATACCTGAAAATGCCTGGAACAACAAGGAATTAGGAAGAAGACTTATCCCAGGTTTTTTTTCTTCCCATGACAGGAAGATTCTGGCTGGATACAGCTGTGAATGTACACTGGCTCGTGCTTCCAAACTGCAGTGACTGATTGTTCACACAATTATTTTCCACGTTACTGCAACTGTAGCGCTGGCAGGTCTCAGTCCTGAAAAAATCTGCATTTTTTGACCATTAGCTATCCTGAGGCATTTCACGGGTAAGATGATTTTCACATCAGATTATTTCAAACTGATGGTTTTAAGACATTCTGGAAGAAAATCGTATTTTTTCTTTGTGTATTTGTATATTAACTGATTTGACTGTGTCACTGACAGAAAAGAGAGCTATTTTCAGAATATAATAATGTATTTTGTAACAAGTTCAAATTAAATGGAACTGAGTGATTTTCCATATGTACAATGACTAATAAAATACTTTCACTAATGCTTGAGGAAAATAAAAAGTGTCATCAATGAAACATCTTCAAAAGGTAGATCTGATATAGAAAGGAAGATGTCAACAGGATTAAAATAGAGGTGCTCTCATGCTGTAAGAGGCAAGACAGACATTGGACTGTGTATTTAGAGTCTGATTACTGTGTATGAATTAAACTAAAAAACATGTAATACTTTTAGGAAATATTAAGCAGAGCCTGGAAACATTTACTCATGCAAGCTATGAGTAGCAATGTTACTCATGAGTAGAAATAAGTCACATGAGGAAGGATTTAGGCAGTCTGGCCCTTTGTATTGGAATATGAACAGTAATAAGAATTGTTGGCCATTTAAAAATTATACTCATTATAATGAAAGAAATCTGAACTTGTCTGTGGCATTTGTTGATTTTCTCTCACGTCTAAATTTAAGACAGTAAGTTCCCTCAGACTCCTCCTTTGATGACACAAGCTATAGTCCAACTTCTTTTTAAAGTGACGCTGACTTTCCTTTGACTTTAATGACAGCTATTATACTGCTTTAGTACAACTGGATAATACATATGCATAATGGCTGTTCTGTGGCAACAGATTTTCTGGTTTACTTTGTTTTGAACATGTTCTCTTCTCTTGTAATAGACATTGCTTCCTGATTTGAAATAGTGGTAGCTATGCTTTTAATCATATTTGCTCTATGTGGAGAATAAAGAATTAATTTATTCAGGAAGATGAGATGGCATTGACAGAAGCTCTGAGACACTTCAAAAGAGAAGGAAAAAAATTCATACAATTTTTTTTTATTTTGGAAAATACAGTCGACATCACGTACTGTACTATATACAAAGAAGACAGTCCAGGTTCAGGTGTTTCTGAAGTGACAAAATTAAAGTTGGTTAGTGAAGACGCTCTGAGCGTGCATGAGACTGACGAGGCTTTAGAGATGCAGTGGCAACTTTTTCTCCATCATGTTAACTTATTCTTCCATTGATGGTGTCATGGTGTTTCATTCTTTTAAGACGCCTTGTCTTAAATTGTTCTTTGCAAAACTTAACAGTAAATAACACAGTATTGGATCACTGTGTGCATTATGTTAAACATAATGCTGGGCTTCCTCTACTTAATGTGAAAAATTCCATCCAGAGAAAGTATGTAAGACTGCCAGGGATGCAGAGTTGTTTTCTCCTTCTTTTGCTTTTAAGTTGTTTAACTAAGCGTATGGGATGTCCTAACTGCATCCCCTGCGACTAGAGAAGAGCGAACTTGCAAAGTTTTTCTGCTAGCTTTACTGGGGTATTTATATTCTACTGTGCTGACCTCTGGGGTTCAACATCATAACTTTATTTAGGATATGCTAAGTCCCAAAAGGCTGTAATTCATTTCAGGATTGGCCTCTTACGCCTAATTTTTGTGTTGATGTTTGTGCAGTGTATTTTAATTCTAACTGATTTTGCTCCCTCTTCTATCCACGCACACACACTTGATGAGGTTGCTCTGAATGGACAGCTCATCATAAGAAATCAGAAGTTTTAATGAACAGGATCAGGGAGAACCCCCACTATATTACAATAGAAACAGATCTGATCATTTTGGCAAGGTCTGTATCTACAGTTGTAATCTCTTATTAATATGGCAATGATAGTGGAAACTCAATAGCATGCAACTCATAAACGTGCAGTTTTCATTGATAACAACGGAAGCTGAGCATACGTAACTGAAGGCTAAATTAGAGCAGTTTCATACATTTTACTATCACCTGCAGAAAAACAAAGAATCTTCACAGCATACTATGTAGGTGTATGTTTTCATCTGAGTTATAACACAGGGGATATACTAATGCTACGTAAACACTATCTCAAACAAATTACACCAAAATGCCAAAAGATTATTTTCCCCTTTTTCTGTCGGTCTTTGAGAGGAAAATTTTTAGAACATATAAGTTTAGTAGGACAATTATAGTTAGAGCAATTATTATGTCTTTCTCAAAGTAGAAAGCTGATAGTTGATTTTTTGTTACTCTCACTGCAGCAAAAGCATGCATTAACTCCTCCAGCATACACGAGGAGCCAGCATGAGTACTGCAAGTAGTAACTTGCTCTATCTATCTGCTTTATGAAATGCTGCAAGTTCAATTTTTGAGGTACAATTTTGAGTCTTCCTTACATAAGCACAAAGGGAGGAAACTGTTGGGAATGCCAGTGAGAAGTGCAGTGAACAACAAAATAATTCTCAACATTGGTAAAACTTGTCCTCCATTCTCTTGAATAATTCTTTTCTTCTAGCATGAAGGGAGAACCGAGAGTAAATCAGCTACTTTCCGGTTTCATAGGCCTAACAATAATTAAAAAATAAAAAAAGTCTAAATCTTATGCAAAAGCATTCTCTTCTCCCTCCGAAGGGCTTACTCCAAGGGTTTGTTTTCATTAGCGGTAGAAAGCAGTGACATTATTTTTGCATTCCTGTGAACTGCAGCAAATTGTCCCTCTTGGCTGTCATTGTTTCCTATGGAAGGAACAATGGCTTCCATTTATCACAAGCTGACACCATATGGCACGTGAAATCACGTTTCACACTGCAGCATCCAAAGAGATAGTGTACATCAAAAACATTTATATAAAATACCTAGCTATAAGTAAAAAAAAAAAAAAGGAAAAGTATAACCGATTAGAAAAATGAAGTACCTCCTGAAAAATCACAGCGACTTCAAATGAGCAGCTCTGAAAGTGTTAAGTAACTTAAAATCCGTCTTGCAGAGTGCATATAAACAAACAAGTGGAAAATGCTCCAGAGAAAGCACTGAAATACTGCCATTAAAAAAAAAGTTTTGATGAGCATATAGTTTTGTAGGAACATCAAAGTACAGTGCAGCTGTTGGTACATCAAAGAAGTATTGTGTTCCCTCCAACAATTCACTGGTGTCAGCTTGTGTTTGGTGTTATTGATAGCAGAACAAGCAAATGCACTGGCTTGCACAGTGACTCTAGGCTCTTTTTGTTTCAGTAGCTGATGGTGGTGTAAGTGTCCGCCTGTTTTTATGTACAGTAGGTAACCCACTCACTCATCTACTGAAGGATGTTTCATTGTAGGATATAAAGGGCTGCTCCTCAGCAGGACAGATAACATCCACTTCGGTTGTCTGAGAAATGCCTGAACTCTTGTGTCCTCTCACAGGAATTCTGGGGTATGCCTTGGCTATTTCTCTGACGTCTGGTTTTGATAAGTGATTTTCAGAGCTTAGTGTCTCCTAGGAATTCTGCAGGAAGAGACTGGGTGAGGTCATTCAGCTTTTCACTGAGTTTCCTTTCTCTGTTTTTGGCTGTTCTAGTGAACATGACCCTCTAGCACTCAGGAATATTTCTGTTCCCTCAGGAACTATCGACCACTCGCTGGTTTTATCTCTGTGCACACAAAAGCTCCATGTCGCTGGAAGGGGAAACAAGGTTGACATTAACCAGGGGAACATAAGCAGCCCGTAGATGCAGCTGTGAGCTGAGTTCATTTATTAGCTCAAGTGCTGGCAAAGCTAACACTTGTTTCTCGGCCTCTCTACTGGCCATCGGCCTAGGTCCGAATAGCCGAAGGCAATGAAATAATAGCTGGTTTGTCAGCCCATTTTATTCATGAAACGGGGCACGGCAGGAATACTTGGAAAGAAGCAACAAGTAAAAGAAAATGCATCTTATTTTCTCTGGTTCACAAGCATTCTGCCTCAGCGAGTGTGTGACTTGCATACAGCTTTTCTGGACGAGTCTATTCATATCAGATTTCATTTCTTGCTACATGGTTGCTATGGATACGATTCTGAACTGCTGCTTTTGTAGGCCAGGAGATTTATGACTGCATCTCAAAGGATTTTGCTCATCAGTGTTACACAAGACTTTTTTTCAAAGAAATAGAAGTGAAAACAAGACCTGTTTATTTCAAAATATTTCTGACGACTGAATTCTGCGCTTTGGGTGATCTGCCTGAAGTCTGTCCAGAGTCTGTTGATCAGTTCCCTGTTTATAGTGAATTGTTGACTTATAAGAAATGCATAACCATGCATACAAACACCTGAGAACCAAGGCCTGGAAAAAGTTATGGGTCTTTACTTAAAAGGCGGGCATCAAAGTACGCATTAGCCCTTATTCTGCCCTTACTCATTCCGGCTTTTTTGCGTGCAAAGCCAGTTGGGTTCTGTGAAGTCAGAGCATAAGCAGACTGCTTAGAAATCCAAATTGTGTGATTTATCATTAGGTTACTGTTTATCAAAACTACAGGAAGCCTGGGTGCTACAATACACACACACAAACGAAATGGAGCATATATAAGTAACACAAAAGAGTATATCATTAATATTAACTGCTGGCAATTCTAAAGCATGTGACAACATATCTCAGTATTAAACAGTCAGTCGGAAATTCTGGGATAAACTTACTCCTCCAGCTTCCTGGATGCTATTAATCATACAGGACGCACATTGTCGTACCTTTCCTCGGATGGGTCCATTTGGAGATTCTCTGTCATTGCACTGATGGCTAAAGGAGGTCTGTTCTTGTAGAATCTTTGGAAGACTTTTGGGTGTTCTAGGAGTTGCAAGGGAGCCATGACATAGACTATTGTTAGGGAGCGCTTGTACTACGTGGTCCAAGCTAGCCTGCACAAACGTGCCACGTGTTGCACAAAACACAAGTGATTGATAGCTTCTTTTCTTGAAGTGCTGAAGCTAATTTGACAGGCAAGTGAAATCACAATGTTTACCGCAAGGGAAGAGGACATGATGAGTTGGACAGTAAGCTGCGCTTGCACATATGTCATGGCAATTCAAGGTTTTCCTGAGAAGCAGCATTGCAGAAGTACCTGTAGAGCAGTCGTTTTGCTGGGGTGAGGATGAAGGCCACACAGGCAGATTTTGCAAGAGTATTTCAGTGCAAGAACTGTTAAGACAGAAAAGGCCCCTTAGATCACTTGGAAGGCGCTTGACTTCTTCTCGTAGTATGTTTCTTAGTGTTTTCTTATGGCTGTTTTACTTTTTTATGTTACCTGCCCCCTTTTTCTACAATCTTTTAGACAGTTTTCCATCAACACAACAATATTGTCCTATAAACAAACAAGAATAATTTTCACTATTAATATTTAATGAAACACAGACTGGCTGATCACACTGAACCATGCTTGACATGTGCAGGCAGAAGAGGAAGGAAAAAACAAATGTCTAGCACAATTTAAATACCCCTAACCACATTCTTCAAAACGACCGGCAATTTTAAATTCTCCGTTTGAGATATGGCACGAGGCCAGATCCTCTCGGGGACAAGTGCTCAAAGCTTTCTGAAAAGCAGGACTGCTTAAAGTGCTTCAAGTGGGTCAGGCTTCCTCACTAGTCACTGTTGAAATGTAGGCCACTGCACTTCCATTTGCATACTGGTAACATCTAAGTTGTTGCAGTCGCTAGCACACACAACTCTCAGATAAATCCTGACTGTTGGAGAAGAGCTGGAATATTGTTGGTTTACTATTGACATCACTAGCATCGTATGAATAGACCCTGACTTCTTCCTATTCTGCTGTTGGGCCAAGATTTTGCCTACTGAAAGAGCCTATTCTTGCTGAACAATATATATTAAAATGAGGATATCCCACGAATATATTTACAGGTATCTATTATGAAATTAGAAAAAGCTTTAAAGATTTCAAAGCACATTTTCTCAAAAACACCTAGAGGAAACATAGTTGGCCTACATCAAGCTCTCTGCTAGTAGAGCTAGACTGCTTCTAGCAACAGAACTAGCTAGTTTAAGCACATTTATTGTGGTAACACGCACCATCATACAGAAACAGGGGTGCATGGGCCCCATCTAGCAGCAAAGACTAGATCAGGTACCTAAGTCTTTGAGTTTGATAATCTAAAGTCCTTGTAAGAGAAATAGTGGAGGAAATGAAATATGCCGCTGAGAAGAGAGGGAAACGCAAGTCAGCAGTGTGAGTTCCTCAAAGTCAATGTAATTGACAGCCTGTGCTTTAGTCCTTGGATGTCAGGCATCTCAGGCTAAGGGGTGAGCATGCAGATCACTAAGTGAACAAATCTTCCAGTCCTTTTGCAAACTATTTGCCTCAGTGAGGTTGTGATTAACATCTTGCAGCTCGCTAGATTAGTATACAGTTAGTTTTGAGAAATACATTGTTTGAAGATGGTTAAAATGCTGAAAACGGATAGTTAGTACTGATGTGAGTCAGAAGAGAGAGTAGATCTGAACGTTCAAATATGGAGCTAGCAGTTTTGAGCCAATCATTATATATGCAGCAAGCCTAGAGCAATCTTAGGCAATGATATGTAAAAGCCCACTCTTTGGTTATGCGAGCTGCAGAAGGGGAATAATAATACATACTTACCCACAGGAATGTTGTGAAGATGAAGGTATTAACACTGTGGTTGTAAAGTATAGCATAGTTCCCAGATGGGAGAAACAAAAGAAGTACTACTGTTCTTATAGATGTCAAGTTCATCTAAGAAGTCCAGAAAAAAATACAGTTTGGAAGTGCAAAAATAAGTATTGAAGTTCCTACGAGGTGTGCTGGACAGCACGCCTATATATAGATTTGCAGATATTCATGCACCCCTAAAAGCTTTAAGCGTGTCTAGGGTTAGCTGTGAAGGTGTGATATGCATTTAGAATTAATATTCCTTCATTTGAATATAGAACAAAGTGAGCATTTCAGTGGAACTGTACATTGCCTATCCGATCCTGATGGAGGTGTTTAATAACTGAAACGGGAAATGCAATTGAGGAAGATTTTATAAGTCTGAAAAATAAAGTAATATGGAAATTTTAGTTCCCAGCTTTCATACTGGAACAGAGAGGTACGTTCATATCAAACATGCTAGTAGCTGTGCATATACAATAATGCTATCCGTTCCACAGATTGTGCTTTTGCTGTGTCTGAACAAGACGTTCCTATAGAATTTTTGAAAGTTGGAATGATCTGTATTAATGTTAAATTTCTGGTCAATGAAATACAGATAAACTATTTTCTCTGTAGTCCTGTAAGATGCCATTTTTTTAGAGGTAAGATAGAATCTGAATTGCTCTAAAACACACATGAATAATGCCATTGATGAAATTGTGTGTGTGTGTGTGGTTCACATAAAACTGGTGAGGATTTTTTCCTCAGTATCTGAACATCTGCATGGAAGATCAAAAATACTTTCTAAATGAATTACTCACAAAGTAGGCTTGTTAGCTGCTGAATACATTATCTAACCTAATACGTTTCAGTACATTAGTTTTGCAAATTAATCTTCTATAAAAAGATATTAGTTCATTTCTCTCTCAGTGGAATTTTAGGCATTAGAAATCTATTCAGAATATATTATGTAAATATTCCAGTAGAGACCCTTAACAAGTTCATATTTCCTATAAACAACTAAAAAAACCGCTGCGAATGACTGAAAAGGAGAAAACCAAATTTGGCTCTCTGCTGTCCTTTCCCAACAGCGCAGGTCATCTTAGGAAGACGCGTGCATGCTTGTCGTCCAGCATCTTGTTATTTCACTCCTTATGTGTAAGAGTCTTGCATGAGGAGGACCGTAAGGATGGTCAGTACAGGACTCCAAGGCACTCCAGCAATACAGCTGGCAAACATTTCTGGAGTTAGTTAAAATGCTAACCTATTCCTTTTCCTAAGTTTAATGTGTGTGTTGGAGAGTGATTTGATATGTTCATTATCCTCAGCTGGAGAAGCCATATTGCTGCAGTGATTTGAATGACTCTGCCCACTGTGTCTCACAGTTGCAAAGTTTCTCTGGCTACAGAACTAAACGCTTGACAGTTGCTCACAATGCGAAAGAATGCATTTTGTAGAACCCCACTGTGAGATCATCCTAAAAGACTGGCCTGGCTGCGACACAGAAAGAAGTCTGTGTCTCTCTAACAACCTGCCTGTATGTTTTATAAATGGGATCACACAATACATGTACAACATTCACTGCAGGCTTTATATTGCTGATGTGGACACCTCAGGAAGGATGCAGCCTAAATTAGTCACAACCTTTGCTTCACTGGCTGCTCTGCTGGCGTCACTGGCAGCTTTGCTGTAGATAGCTGGAGAACTTGGAGAATACATTAAATCGGTGGCTCCTTCACCTGGTAAAAATGCCCTCTTTAGCAGTCTTTAACTTATCACCTCCATGGGATACCTTCCAATGTGCTTGATGCAGCAGAGTTAGTAGGGCCTTAGCATGGGGGAATCTGATCTCCAGAGTTTTAAAATTATATTAATTCATTTATGCAGCAATGTGTAACTGATCTGACACTTCACGAAAAACATGGGTTTGCTAGATGCAGGGCATCTCTAAAAACCTATCTGTTCAAAGAGCCTGCGTTCCAGCTGAACAACTTAACAAAACTAGATCTCAAAAATAGGAAAAATCAAATTATTTCTAAAGCTATAAATTAGTGCCAGAGAGTCTGCTGTCAACTGTCTTAGATGTTACAATACCTCTGCAGGGTTGGGTTAGAAAAGGGGGAATCCTTACAAGCCTCAGTAGGCACTAGCCCGTGCAGTTAAGTTAGCACACAGAACAGCACCAGCTATTCTTTTACTGGATTCCTTTTAAGGGGGAGGTGAGCCAGAAGGAATTTTTATGCATATATGCATACACAAAAGGACTATTTTTTCATCTACGCAAACTGGAACCATAAATTACATCCTGGATAAGTGTTCAGTGTTTATATCCTTTTAAGGAATACAGCCAGTTAGCACCCCACTTCCAAGGTATAATCTTCCATTACTGTTAGATGCTGCAGCCTGATCCCAGCCAGACAACTGGCTCAACACCAAGATCACAAATGTGCCAACATATGGAAACAATTGCTTCCCTTTTGATTGGGAATGACATATTCTGGGTGTGTGCACAACATCCCCCCATCAGTCATCCAAAGTGGTTCATTATTTGCACTTAAACTCAGTCTCAAAGAGAAGATCTCTAGAGTCTTTTGCGGAGGGTAGCAAAGAAAGATATTCATGCTCCCCAGAAAGCAAAAGAGCCCCTGCATGGTGATAGCTTGTTTGAGCCACAGCGTATCCTGACCTAGCCTGATTGCTTTTCTGTACGAGGCTGTGTTTCATGCACCAAAACTGATATTACTACTCAGCTTAATGCAACAGCAGCTAGATCTTGCAACTGCACTTGCGTAATGAGGCTGTGCCAGCTGCTATTCACCACTGGGATTCCAGAAATCTCCACATATTGACAATCTCAGCAAGTGAAGGGAGGGGAAAAGTTTAATTGTCCATATCTGACCTCAGACTGCATAGTTTGACACCAGTGACGGCCCATCTGTCTCATGGTTTAACACCAGTGATGGCCCATCTGTCTCAATGAAGTTGTAATAGCAGAAGGCCTGCGTCACCAGAAAAAGATCAAGAAGATTTTTGTTGAGCTCATGCGGCTAAACTGGTGATATCCAGTGCTTAATCAGGAGAGAGAGAGAGATCAGGGGGCAGTCTCCTACTGAGAAGTCAAGGAAAATCTATTTTAGAAGTTTGCTGGGCTCACATAAAGCAGAGAATAATGAAGAGAAACAAAAGCGAAAAACTTCCCTAAGAACTCTCAATATTAAGTGGGAAGACAGAAGAGACCTTGGTTTGAACTCAGTAAATACTAATGTTGTTATATATACTGGAGTTACTCTGGAGAGAGGCCTTAGCTATCCCAGGATCAGGCTCACAAACTGAAAACGAAATTGTAGCTCAGTGGACGTGAATGAATAATTTTT